TTGGTTGGATGCTTGGTTGGATGGTTGTTTTGATTGATTGATAGATTGAGTCGGTTGATGTTGGTTGGTTGGTTGATTGGATGGTTGATTGAGTTGGTTGGTTGGATGCTTGGTTGGATGGTTGTTTTGATTGATTGATAGATTGAGTCGGTTGATGTTGGTTGGTTGGTTGGTTGGTTGGTTGGTTGGTTGGTTGGTTGGTTGGTTGGTTGGTTGGTCGGTTGGATGATTGGATGGTCGGTCGGTTGGACGATCAATCGATCGGTTGGTTGTTCGATTGGTTGGAGTGTTGGATTGTTGGTGAGTTGGTTGGATGGTTGGTTAGTTGGATGGATGGTTGATTAAGTTAGTTGGTTAGTTGGGTGGATGGTTGGTTGGTTGGTTAGATGGTTGTTTGGTCAGTTGGTCGGACCTTCGATCGATTGGTCGATCAGTCAGTTGATCGGTTGGTTGGTTAATTGGATGGTTGATTGAGTTGGTTGGTTGGTTGGATGGATGCTTGGTTGGATGGTTGTTTTGATTGATAGATTGATTGATTGATTGATAGAAATCTCTCAAGAACATCTTAGAGTTGAAACATTCTGTAGCATTATTAATATTTAAACTATCACTTTTGTTAATTTGGCAGTTAATACATTTTTGTTGAGATATAGTGATATTTATTTGTTTATCTTACATCAGACTTTTGAATAATAGTAATTATGTAATTGCTAATAAATCAATCAATCAATAAATAAATGTATTTATTAAGATAATTACACCTATTTAAATAATTGTAACAAATACCATTTATGTGTAAAACATTACGTAAATAGTTGTATCTATGGAGAGACTGTAAGTATGCATGCATGTTTATATGAAAGTACAGGTATGTATGTTTGTTTAGCAGCATACCTATATTATTATTTTTTTTTTAACAGTGTATTTTTGTCTAAATACATTTTCACAACTTTTGTTGTTTTTCATGGTTGTTTTTGATGTAATTGGTGGCTGAAACCTCTGTTCTATTGTAGACAGTTATGTGGAACTTTGGTGACTGGAAAATGTTATTTTTTTCCAAAGTGTCACATTTTAAATCATCTCTATTTTTGGATCCTCTTTTAATCTTTAAAGCAGCATTTCAAAGTTGAAGACGTTTAAGAAGAAAAATATAAAACAAAATCTTCAAGGATTATTTGTAATTGTGCTTTGCTTACAGACAGGTAGAAAAATGAATAATAAATCAGTCCAGTTGGCAGATAACAGAAAATGAAAATACTTTTAAAGTGCGTAGTTCTAATATTCTTCTTAAATCCCTGACATCACATCCCTGATAATTTTTTTGTCCAGGAACTCAAAGCGAAGCATATTTAAATTCCTTTCATCTTGAGCGCTTATGACACTGTTATTGTTGAAGACGTTCATTTTGCGCTGCTGGAGCACAGGCATCTGTATATGGACCATAAACAAGATTAGTGTCGTGCTAGCATAAACAAATGGAATTGCTAAGTGCTACTCTTGAGATTAGCGGCGGAGCGTCTTTACAGTCTTCTTATTATTCTCTCTCCATCATCTTCTGTTTTCACAACCGACTAACTCCTCCACCACTTCAAACTTCAAATGTTTATTTTATAAGATTGAAAGCGCTTGTCACTTTTTCATTTTTACTCCTTCAGGCTTGTGTCTTCCGTGACGTTCGCCGACGATATTGCCCGAGGAAGCTCGCAGATGAAATATAAATGTCTTGGCACTGTAACTATCCGGGATAAGTAATCCTGGAGGAGGCCGACTATTAGATATTAGGCTGTAAATTGACATTCAGCTGATTGATTTGATGGTATAGGGCTTTGTGGGAAGCACAGGCTGGCTGCACTTATTAGATATCGAGGTTTTCCAGAACTCTTGGTTAAATCATGGAGCAGCTGACAGCCAGATGCCTTGATTTTATTACGCAAGATGCATTTTCCATCCATCTATCCTTCCATCCATCATTCTGTCATTGACAATTGATCAGTCACGATCCATCTGTAATTGTCATGATACTTATATATAATGATTCATTCATCTGTCATTCGCTTATTGTGTCTTTTGTTCTGTCCACCCGTCACTCTGTCAATCCATTGATTTATTTATTATACTGTCACTATATGCATCCATTTATTTATCCATCCATTATTCTGTCTATCCATCCATTCATTGTTTTATTGACCAGTCCATATATACATTGCTCTCATTCTGTGTAGTGTTCTGTCCATCCATCCATTCATCCTTTCACCAATCATTTTGCCAATTGTTTGCATTTTATTTTGTATGCATATATTGTGTCCATCCATTAATGATTCTGTCCATCTATCGATTCATCTGTCTCCATCTATCTATCCATCTTATCATTGGATTGATTGTATATGGATTGATTGATCCAAATATAAACTGATTTTTTTTTTCAAATTATTTCTATATATTACACCTGTTTTTATGTCAATTGAGAAATTCATCCATCCATCCATTCATCCATTGTTCTGTCAATCTAAAATCCATCCATACTTCCATCCATCTAACAGTTTGTTGACCAATGCATATGTCCATTTTCATTTTATCCATCTTCAAATGTATCATTTGTTTTGTTGATCCAACCATCCATCCATTCATCAACATTCTGTTAATCTTTTCATTCATTCATTCATTCATTCATCCATCCATCCATCTATCCAGTCCCATTCATCAATACATCCATCCTTTCTTTACATCCATCTATCCATACTTCCATTCATCCATCAGTCCATTGTTTTGTTGATCTGTACTTTGTTTTTTCCATCCATCCATCCATCCATCCATCCATCCATCAATCCATCCATCCATCCATCCATCCATCCATTTATCCATCCATCCATCCATCTGTCCATCCATCATCTGTTGTCATCCTATCTTTTGACTATCCATCCAGCAATCAATTGTTTTGTAGATCCATCCATCCATTCATCAACATTCTGTTAATCTTTTCATTCATTCATTCATTCATTCATTCATTCATTCATTCATTCATCTCTTCTATCCATCCATTTATCTGTTATCTCCATCTATCCATCCATCAGTCTTTTGTTTTGTTGATCTATACAATGTTTTGTCCATCCGTCCATCCATCCATCCATCCATCCATCCATCCATCCATCCATCCATCAATCGTCATACTGTTAATTTTTTCATCCGAACATGCATCCATCACTTTGGTCTATCCATCAAATGTTTTCCTCTCCATCTTTTTATTTATCCAACCATTTATCACCTTTCTGTCCGACCATCCGTCCGTCCGTCCATCCATCCATCCGTCCATCCGTCCGTCCATCCATCTCATCATTCATTATTTTCCCACTCAACCCATCCATGATTTTGTCAGTTGATCCAACCATCAATTGTTGTTACTGATCCATCTATTGCTTTTTTTTGCCTATCCATTTTAGGATTTTTTTTTTTTTTTGTGCAGTACACAACAGAAAAAAGCAAGTTATCTAACTCTTATTCTGTCACAAAAGATATGATGTGCCACAGTGTTATGTGAAAAAGTAAAAAGAAAAAAAAGAGTGTATGATCTTCTGTAACTGACACATTCTTTTACAGTATGTCCCATAAATAACACACTGGCTTTTGTATCAAGAGAAATGCAAGTTTAGAAAAAGTATTGCCAACTTTTTCGAATGAATTATATATGACTTCTGTGTCACAAAAGATGCACAATCTACTCCATCTTTATATTCATATAGCTTTAGTTATCAGCTCTCTATTTGCTTGGCTAAGCATGACTGTAATTGTTCTTCTCTTTTCTTTACAGGTTCGATAGGCGCGGAGTTAACAAGCAGCAACGTTAGCATGTTCATCACATCCGACGCTGGAAACACGTGGCGGCAGGTGACTCTGACGGTGGGGTGTTCAGCCAGATGGGGGTGGGCAGTAATTTCAGGCACTGATGCATATCTGTGAGCGGATAAAAGCACGTGCCACGTATTTTAGAGCCGATAATCAAATGACACCTTCAGAGAAAACTAAATTCAATGACATATATGATGCCCGTGGGTGCATGCTTGATGATGCGGTTTAAATTTATGGGGCCAGCTGTCTAATTAAAAATGGAGAGCTCAAATAATTAAGAGAAAATTGATGTGGCAAAAAGTTAAAGCACGCTGGGTAGGGCACGGCTTTGATGTCATATATCTTGTCAGTAGGAATTACAATCACTGGGATTTGAGGAATAGCATCATTTCAAGGACAGCAGACCTGTGCTTGCCAGCGTTCATCTAATCAAATTGAAAGCCCTCCCAAGAAGAGTAAAAGAGATGAAATATTGCCATAACTCAGCCAATCTGACATTATGGATGAGAATAACACGGGAACATGTGTAACAATGCCCTAAGACTCGCGTGAGAGGAAGTACATGGCGAGAATGTTTAAATGTTTGCAAACCAACTTAATTTCGGGAGAAACAAATTAATTTTGATATATTACATTCTAAAGTTTTCAAGCTCCAGTCATCATTCTGGCTGCTAAATTTATAATAATCTGATTAGTGTTTCTAGCTAATCAGATTAACCAACAATCAGTGTGGAGTTCCATTGACTTTCATCATAATAATAGGAGCATCATGTTAAACATGCAAACAATTTGATAACATTATGTTAAATCATGCTTGAAACATGTTAGGTAAGTGCAAATCATGCTAGCAGTTCAATTAACCAAAGTAAGTTTATTCATGATTATAACATGCTAAAACGTACCAATGTGTATCTTGTGTGTGTATCTTCTTACAAACGTTACCGATACCTGCTAAAAAAAACAGCTTAAACCAGCCTAGGCTGGTTAGCTGGTTTTAGCTGGTCGATCAGGCTGGTTTTAGAGGGGTTTTTGGCCATTTCCAGGCTGGTTTCCAGCTATTTCCAGCCTGGTTTTTGCTGGTCAGGCTGGGAGATGACCAGCTAAAACCAGCTTGACCAGCCTAGCCTGGCTAAGAGCCCAGCCAAAACCAGCTATGTCCAGCTTAAACCAGGCAATGTTAATCATTTTACATCATGTTACATCAGGCAACAATGCTAAATCACTATAGAAATCATGCTAATAACATAGTAAACATAGGCCTACCAATGTGCTGTGCAAATATTGTGTATATCTTCTTAGAAAATGTTACCAATGCACTACATTATATTAGAAATGTTAACAATTAGATCATTCTAGTTAAATGTTAAAACACGCTAATGATTACAACATAAAATAAAGCTAGAAAGATGTTGCAACATTCATAAAAAACACCTTAAATTATGTAACAATATGTTGAAGCATGCTAATAATGTGTTAGCAATGTATTCAGTCATGATATCAACATGTCATACAATGCCAGCAATGTTCAAGATCATGGCAGAAGCATGCTAGCAATGTCAAATCATGCTATCAACATTAAATCACGCTAGCAACATGCTAAATCATATTAGAAAAGTCTAGCAATGTGACCCAGATATGCTAGCAGATATGTAAATCATGCTATAATCATGCTAAAACATTGAAAATCATGCTAACAGTGTGCTAATTTATGGTTGCAACATAAACCACATGCTAAATCATGCTGGCAGCATGTTGGATTATTCTTTTCAAAGTGATTTGTTAAACCATCATCAGTGTTTGTTTACAAATCATCAGCAGCATAATGTTGATGCACTGGGGTCAAACACATTTCTCAGCTATAATGACTTCAGTGCGACTTGTAGCTTCTGCTTTTCCAGTGGATTCACAGCCATGGGAAAACAAAACAGACCCCTTGCTGTATATTCCGCTAATATAAACACTAGCCTCAAAATCATTAGCCTATGAGGTACTTGAGTCAATCAGATGGTGTTTTTCTCCACTTAAACGAACTGGCGTATGCTAAACGCTCGAAGCCCTAAGGCCTCAACTCAACATGAATCCACATCAGCAGGATTTCACAGCACATACAGTGAAGTTATCTGCGCTCTGGGCCAAACAAATGGAGATTGCTAACGAGGGCTTCAGTTTTGGGTTCAGCACTGCAGTAGGTCAGACTAGCATCTGGATGCATTTCCCTCAGTTAGGCAATTACTTGTTTAGTACATGTTTGCAAGCACTAGCACTTATGAAATGGTGACCAGAGGGTGTTTTTTTTTCTGCCGTTTTATAAACTCTGTACTTTAAAACATATTGGTGTTGCCTAATGTATAGGAGTATTATTATTATTCACAACCACAACTTTTTTAGAGGTAAGAATCAATTGTAAATTTGATTTGATAAAAATGGATGGAAAAAGTAATAGCTTATTTAAATATAATTTGTATATACAGTATAATATAATAAACTGTTAAGTCAGATTACCATTTGAAGTGTTATATTATTTACGTGCTATATTATTACAGTTTACAGTGTTTGCAATTGGAAAACAGACTTGATATTAAAGTCAAAACTAAATACGTTTTTACATTATATATAATGTTGTATAGTTTATGCAGTACTTTAATATCCAACAGAAATATACAAATTAATGGTATACTGTTTAGAATTGTATTTACTTACTCTCCTAGCTAAGATGGATTGATTTGGATTAAGCTTTCACTAAATTTTTATTATTATTATTTTATTATTAATATTTATTTTTATTTTATTTTATGTTACATTATATTATCTTATTTTACTTTACTTAATTTTATTATTTTTATTTTATTTTATTAATTCGTTTTATTTTATTTTTAATTTTACCTTACTTAATTTTTATTTTATTTTATTTATTTTAAATTATAATTTACTTATTTTTTTATTTAATTTAATTTTAATTTAATTTTTAATTCATTTTAATTTAATTTTACTCTCACTTAACTCAATTTTTAATTTAATTAAATTTAATTTTATTAAAATGTTTATTTTTATTTAATTTAATTTTACTTTATTTTACTTAACTTTACTTAATTTAATTTTACATAATTTTAATCAATTTCGATTTATTAAATTTTAATTTATTTTAATTTCATATCAATCAATATCAGTTTATTATTATTATTATTATTATTATTATTATTATTATTATTCAATGATTTAAAAATGAACACATCCCAACATAAATCAAATAAATGTTTAATTTGACACATTCAGCAAACACATTTAATTATTACTACTTTTTTTACACAATACAAGATGGTATTATTTATTGCAAATGTTGAACTGTGTGTTGCAGATCTTCGACGAGGAGTACAGCGTTCTGTATCTGGATCAGGGCGGAGCTTTAGTGGCCATCAGACACACCCCTCTCCCCATAAGGCACCTCTGGTAACCCAACGCCATGCACTGCCATTATTAACATTTGATGCGTCTGTTCATAAAAGATGAGTCCAGCTGACTCACATAATGTGACCGTTCTCATTAAAGCCAGCAGACTGTGTAATACTTGTGTCTAGTAATCTAGATGAAATGTGGGGAAGGTGAAGTAAAGTGCTGTGCCGTGTCTATATATACTTTGTATTCCTGACATTGTAGGCATCAAATGTACCCACAAGTATAGCAATACCAGTAAAGTGTAACCTTGAGGGGACATTTGTTTGGTCTCCATGAGGGAAACAGCTTACAAATTATACAGAACGAAGGATTTTGACAATATAGAATTGTATGAGAGATATAGAATATACAATGTTGGATATACAGTTTGTACAGCTTAAAAATCTTTATATCTATGGGAGGTTGCGTATATGTCTTTGGTGTTATTACATACTGACTAAAATGTGTTTTAAGAGCTCAGAGCTAAGACATTTTCCAGGTCCCCATAAAATATGGAAACTTGTGTGTCTGTGTGTGTGTGTGCAGGTTGAGTTTTGATGAAGGCAGAGTGTGGAATAAGTACAGCTTCACCTCCTCTCCTCTGTTTGTGGATGGAGTTTTGGGTGAACCGGGTGAGGAGACGCTCATCATGACGTAAGTACAGGGCCACTACTAATCCATCTAAAATGACACATTTACGGGTTTCTCAGAAGTCATAAAATTAGACCAAAGTTAATGGGAGAGTACAACAAATTATTATTATTTTTTACAATCCTATTTGCTGAACTAATAAATGCAAAACTTGACAATGGTGTTATCAAGACTTTCAGAAAGAGGAAAAAGATAGTGAGAGACACATTTACTGTCCTTCCCATTTCAAATGCCTCGTACAAGTGGTAATTTGTTTTGTGAAATTTGATTCAAATAAGACATACAGTAATACTTACGTACATGCATATAAATGTTCATATGTTTGTTTTAATTCAAGATATTAAAAACTTGCAAGGATTTAAGATGCTGTTGAGCATTAAACGCGTCCCTTGTGAAAAGGGTTCATACTAACTTAAACTTTTTTTCTTACTTTTGTTAATTCAAATACAGTTAACATTAAATAAATTGAATTTAAATGCCTATTTTATTTCTGCTGGTTATGTGTGTTAATATTTCTAATTTTCAGTTACTTTATTTGATGTACTAACTAATAGCACATATGTAAAAGTGCACTAAAAAGGTAAAACAGACAACACGAGTAACTATTTTTGCTAAATTAACATGTACCAATGAAATATTAACCATAAAACCATTCATGTTTATTCAAATGACACGAATAAACTGAATGAGAAAATAAGTTGAACAAAAATATGTACTATATATGTTATATTTAAACATGATCAAATTATTTATTTGTATTATTTCATATATATATATATATATAAGAAAAGAAAAATTATATATATAATTTCTTCATATTTATTATATTATTAGTATGTATTATTATATTTTAATTATCATTCTTTAATTTTAATTATTATTATTTTAAATCATTTTATGGTTTAAATTATTTAAAATATATATATTTTGCATTTAATTTAACTTTATTTTACATTAATTCATTTATTCATTAAAACTGAATTTAAGTAAAGTATCTAAAGCTAAAATAAAATAAATACTTTAGTAAAAGAGACCAAAAGATGCAATATTTTTGTCTAATACTTTAACAAAAATAAAATAAAAAGCAGAATATTATATAAATAAATTCAACTAATTAAAATAAACAATATCTCAGTGACATCTTGTTAGAATTTTATTTTTATATGAATAATCTGTATAATGTGTTATAATCTCATTGACATTTTTACAAATTTAATTAATTATAAACATTGTGTGGGTTGCTACATCACTTTATTCATTATAAATTTTATAATTTTATTTTGACTTTAACTTTCACAATTTGTATGTATTTTTGCATATATTGCATTTAATTTTTACATAAGATTCACTGTATTTCTTAGTTGTAACTTTCTCCCAATTACCTTTTTTACTTCCATGAGAATAAATGTCAAAAAAAAATGCAAACATAAAATGTTCAGTGCACGGGTTTTGATGGTTGGTGCTAAAACGAAGTAATAATAATCCAACTGCTTTATTTTTAGAACTTACAGTAGCGAATCAGCTATTTTGACCGGGAAATCATTAAACCATCATGCCAGTTCACATCATAATACTCTGAATCCAGCTCAGCCTAAAATTATTTCGAGAAGTGTTTCATGAAGTTTTTTCCCTTGTAGGATATTTCCAGACACTTTCTGACAGACCCTAAAAGTGTCACCGTGTTTTTGAGTGTCAGACTTTCTCGATGTGAGTTTTTTGTTGGCGGTTTGACACAGGTTTCCACTGATGTGCTTCGACTTGGATGAGGCTGTTAAGACGACACACTGCAGGCAGAAACACTGCTTTTTCCATACACCTGTCAATTTCGAGATTCAGGCTATTCATAAAGTGATTTTTTTTTTGTCAAATGTAAAGAAAACATACAAAATAGACTTAGAAATGTTTCTTTTGTCACACTTTATCAATTTGTGTCTGCAGATTTCAATTGTGTATTTTTAAAGCATGTTTCCTTTAAAAAAAATGTATGAATATTATATATACAGTACACTTATCAGCCACTTTATAAGGTACACCTTACTAGTACTGAGTTGGACCACTTTTGCCTTCAAAACTGATTTAGCAACGTACTGGAAATTTTCCTCCGAGATTTTAGTCCATGTTGACATGATAGCATCACACAGTTGCTGCAGATTTGTCAGCTGCACATCCATGATGCAAATCTCCAGTTCAACCACATCCCAAAGGTGCTCTATTGGATTGAGATATGGTGACTGTGGAGGCCATTTGAGTACAGTGAACTCATTGTCATGTTCAAGCACCAGTCTGAGATGATTCACACTTGATGACATGACGTGTTATCCTGCTAGAAGTAGCCATCAGAAACCTTCGTTATATATAATAATATTTAAAATTTGCATAAATAACGCAATTATTGATATTTCGTTAGGACAACTAAATGGTTTTATGTTCCATCCACTTAAATTTGTTAAAACTTATAAGTTAACTTACTCATTCATGTTGTCCCAACACAAATCGATTGGGTTGCACCCAGCAGTTTTTAAATAAGTAGCATTTTTTTTGAGTATGTATATATTGTTATTGTTATTATTATATATATTTATATTTTTTACGCTATTCATCAGCAGTGTCTTGCCTTAAAGGGTAAGTTGACCTGAAAATGGAAATTCTGTTATAAATTACTCTCCCTCATGTCGTTTCTGTTCTCTGAACTTCGTTCATCTTCAGAACACAAATGGATTTATTTTAGATGAAATCCGAGAGCTCTCTCATCCTCCCTAGACAGTAGTCTAGGGATGGAACCAATAACATTGCCAAAACATGCCACGTGACTTTATTGGTTCAGCTGTAACCATTTGAAGCTACAAGAACGTTTTTTTTTTAGTGTGCCAAAAAAATATTGTCTTGTCTTCTCTTGGTCTTGGTCTTGGTCTTTGTCTTCATCTTCGTCTTTGTCTTGTTTTTGTCTTATCTTTGTCTTATCTTCGTCCTGTCTTCGTCTTCTCTTGTCTTGGTCTTGGTTTTGGTCTTCATCTTGGTCTTGTCTTGGTCTTCATCTTGTCTTTTTGCCTGTAGTACTGACTGAAGAGGAAAACATGTGGGCAAATTGTTTTTATAGTTTTTTTTTGTTGTTGTTGCTTCAAATGATTACAGTTGAACCACAAAAGCCATTTTGACAATGTTTTTCGGTTCATTTTCTGGACCATCTTGGGATCATTGGAAGTTAAGAGATCTCTCGGATTTCATCCGAAATATCCTAATCTGTGTTCGGAAGACGAACAAAGGTCTCAAAGGATGATTTGAACATATTAATGGTGGGCAATTAATAATATAGTTTTTATTTTTGGAGTGAACTGACCCTCTAAGCATTAGCTGTCACTGTCTGCTCTGCATCTGTATAATGATCGGATGACAGAGTTGTTCTAGATGCGTCAGGTCTGTCCAGACACACGGCAGCTGACGGTGTGTGTTTGTTTGCAGGATCTTTGGTCACGTCAGTCACCGCTCTGAATGGCAGCTGGTGAAGATTGACTTCAGGTCCATCTTTAACAGGAGATGTGTAGAATCTGACTATGTGCCGTGGGACTTACACGACCAGGTGAGACAACTCATGTCAGCACTTCCTTCTTTATTTATTTATTTATTTATTTTTTTGTGAAAATCTTTAAAAGCAAATATTTTTTTCTTTTCCATTACAACGATGCAGTTATCATATAGTAGCATCACTAAAAAGTTTGTTTTTTTATATACATGATATAAATGATATATTATATAAAATGTGTTTATACATTCACTCATTCATTCATTTTCTTTTCGGCTTAGTCCTATTATTAATCTAGTGTCGCCATAGCGGAATGAACCACCAGCAACCCATCACTGGGAAACATCCATACACTCTCATTCATTAACTTCCAAGATCGGGCATGCCCAGGGTGGTATGGCCGTAAGCTGTTAATACAGTACTTTGCAAAAGTCTTTGACCCCCATTAGATTTGTCATTTTAGTATTTATTATTACATAGTATATACTAATATAGTATACTAATCTCCCGCTCTTTGCCTGAACAGTAATGACGTTTATAGATAATTCAACACAATCTCACAGGAATTCGTAAGTTTTTGACCTAGTGGCTAATTTGTATGAATTTGTACAATCTCATCCATAAAATTTAGTACAATTTTCTCATCTCCCAATGATGGTTAGGTTTAGGGGCGGGGTTGGGTGCCTCGCCTTCTTTTTAAAATCGACTGAACTCGTACGAATTAGCGACTAAACTGACAAAAATGTAACATAGTTACAGATAAATAAATTAGTTGTAAAATTTTATAATATTTACAGATATTCATGGTATTTATAGATAGCTAATACAGTCATGAAATGGCCTCCACAGAGTCCAGACCTTAATATACTGTAGATATAATAGAGGCAGTATGGTTTTTTTCTGCCAGAGGGGTTGCAACAGTGTTGATATAAATAGTGTTGCATGCCTGAATATGTAGTCCATGACATGGCATATTTGTAGTTCATGTAAATGTGAGTGTTTTCCAGCTATCTCTGGATGTTAGATGGTGATCGTGACACCTTGGCTGTGTTTTGGATCATTGTCCCACTTAAATGTCCACTCTGGTTTCATCTTCATCATCCTAATAATGTAGATGTTTAACTGAAGCAGTAAATATTAATTTACAATGACTGAGGGCAGAGGGTTGCTGAAGAACTACTGAGAGATTTCAGCTGCAGCCTGGGCTTTCACTGTCTTTCAACACCTCCCTTTCTTCATGTGTTCAATACTGTTTCCCATTGTCATTTCATTTTACTATACATAACTTCATTTGTAAAATAATTAGACGTGTTTTCTTTGCATATATGGATTTCTTTGGTTGTTATTAACATCTGGTAAAAATTTCAACAGCACATTTAAAGTGGTTTCTAAGGAAAATGGAGAGGTGTTCAATACTTTTTTCCCACACTGTACATAATATTATTGTTTAAACAGTATCTTTTAGGACCTATTTTGTTAAATCCTTGCTTCTAATAGTGTTTTATAAATATCTCTTTACATTTTGAACATGTTAAACATGTGATTTCATTCATTAAATAAATTAATTAACATCTCATTAATACATATGACATTTTTCTTAACTACTCTTTATGAACTGTTTATTTTAATGTAGTAATTTTAGGAACTTTTTTCTGTAATTTTCAATGAATAAATAAGGTGACCCTGTTAATTTGAAAGACAACATGTACAGTGCTTTACTATCTGTAACCAAGAACAAACAGCTTTTTTTTTTAGCCTTGATTAAACATTCCCTTTTGTTCTACTGTAACAGTTGCTTGTGCTTAACAAATCCTCTATCTTAGAGTCAGTGATGATCCCCTTCTGTTCTGCATCTCTATCTCGTCTTGATCAGATAGTTTTCTGCTCTGTCTTGCCTCCCCAGTCTGACAACCCCTGATGCTTTGGATTGAAATAAATAAAGAGTTCACCGCATCACGATGTTTGAAGCTTCCTCTCTAACCGGCCCTGACATGCTTTTCCCAGCGTCCGAGACTATATTTGAACAGATAGAATAATATATATCCCAGAACTCAAGCCAGAAGCCAAGTGTCCTCTCGTAGGAGGATAATAGATGTGCGTTTATTAGTCGGAGGCTGTCCTACTTTAACCCGAAGCCTCTTGGCACTTTTCTATTTCTGAGACTTAAACTTGAAGATGACAGAAGTGGACTGAAGACACAACAATGTCAAAGTTTGGACAGCTTTTGGACTGTAGAATATAGTAATACTCTGATGAGATGAAAGCGCATAATTTTTTAGTGGTTAGTGGTTGCAAATAATTTTGTATGGGCTGAATTTAAACAATAACATTAAGTTGATCGTTAATGTGTTTGTTTAAATTCAGCCCATATAAATTGATTGCAACCTCCATAAATCATTGGAAACCTCAATGAATCTTGTATTTTAATTGTGTGAACCTATACTTCACAGTATTGGAGAAGTGCAGAAGTAGAGCTAGTGATGCACTGAAATTAACATAAAAATAAAATAAAACATTCTGTATTCACTTGGCCGAAAAACAAAATTAAAAATGTTTGTTATACTATTTTTAGTTAATAATATAATGTAATTTTTGACTTTTTAATTCAACTCAATAACTTAAATTATACTGTTTAAAAAAGCAATATTGCAAGTGTTCCTCATAAATCGTCAGCACGCTATTTGACTAGATTTTTCTTTTCTGGTGTGCACATGCATTTTATGCATGTCCGTTTTATTTTAGTTTGTGGGATCATGTTGTTTCTTTTATTTAAACAGCATACATTTTGGCACAGAAAGTAGTCACTAAAATAATTGATCTTTTTCTAGTTAAAGGGATAGTTCATGCAAAAAAAGAAAAATGAAATAACTGTCTTTATTTACTCGCCCTTATTTTTTCAGAACTTATGTAAGTCCATTATTTTTGTTGTACACAAAATATATATATTTTTTAATTCTGGTTGATGCCACCCATTCTTTTTTTTTTTTTTTTACTATGGAAGTCAGTGGGTGGCATTAACCAGCATTTCTCAAAATATCTTCTTTTGCGTTCAACAGAATTCATTTTTTTAAATTAATAAAAGTTACAAAAAATACAAAAAAAAAATATTGTAATTAATTTAAATCAAATTTATTTGTTTATATTTGTTTATATATCAATATTTTTTTTATATTATATTAATTAATATTATATTTAAAATAAAATGTCAACAAATTATTAGTATTTTAATGTTTGTTTGCTTATATTTATAAAACAATATTTAGTTATATTTATACAATATTTTATTATGTTTATGTTTAAAATTTAATAAAATTACATAAAATTGCATTTAAAAATTAAATAAAATTAAATAAATTTTTAAATAAATAAAATATATTTAAATTATATTTGTTTTTTTATATTTGTGTATTTGTTTGTTTATATTTATCATCAATATTTAATTATATTATTATAATTTTTGATAGTATTTACATTTAAAATGTAAATATAAAAATAAACAATATTTTAAAATATTAAAAAAAAATATATGAATCTTATTTTATATTTGTTTGTTTATATTTATACACAATATTTTATTGTGTTTATATAATATTTAATTATATTTATATTTAAAATGAAATAAAATCAAATGAATTAAATGTAAAAATTAAATTAAATTAAAATTTTAAATAAATAAAATTAATTCAAATTACATTTATTTGTTTATAGTTGTGTGTTTATTTTTTATATTTGTGTATTTATTTTGTTAATATTCATAATCAATATTTAATTATATTTATAAATGAAATTAAATATTCAGTGCACTAATTTGACGAATGGAAACAAAAAAAGATTTTAACATTAATATCCTGAAACTTGTCACAAATACAACCTTGAGTTTGAATGTAAGAAAGGAAAAAAAGCAGCACAATGAGTGGAAACTATATTTTCTTTCCCTCCTTCCTATTTTCTTTCGTCATCTTTCTTTTTTCTATATTGAGAGTGAAGCACACATGCTTCACTGTTATGAATTATTTATGTGAGAACTGAAATAAACCTGAAAGAGAGCACCATATGCCAGTTTATTGTAGATAATAATAGTGTGTGTGCGTATGTCTGTGTATGTTGAAATCCTGCGTTGTAGGGCGAGCGATGCCTTATGGGAGTTAAAAGAGTCTACAGGAAGCTGAAGGCCACAGCCAGGTGTGTTATGGGTAAAACCTACTCCGTCACCATGATCTCTGAGCCCTGTCACTGCACCGAGTCGGACTTTGAGTGGTAAGTGGTGTTTTTTCCTTATTGAGATTTTAAGGTTGTGGTCTAACACTTGTTGAGCTGCTTTGATGTTTTACTAAAGCTCATAGAGGACTGAATTTCAAGAGTACAGTGTAATATTATACTTTGAAAAAGAATAAAGTGAGTTATAACTCAGCACAGAAGCACAGGAGAAAAATAATTGATTATTCTCTTAATTGAGTGCTGCAAAAAAAAAAAAAAGTCTCGTAAAAAGTGAAAAAACAAACAAACAAAAACAAACTAAATAATCAAAATAATAATAAAAAAATTGTAACGCTTTACAATAAGGTTCAATAGTTAATGCATTTACTAACATGAACTAATCATGAAAAACACTTGTACATCATTTATTAATCATAATTGAACATTTACTAATGCATTATTAACATTCAACTCCATGCTTGTTAACATTAGTTAATGCACGAGTTAACGTGAACTAACAGTGAACTGTATTTTTATTAACTGACGTTTATTAACATGAATAAATACTGTAGTAAACGTATTGTTCATTGTTTGTTCATGTTTGTAAGTGCATTACTTAACATTAACTAATGAACGTTATTGTAAAGTGTGACCAACAATTTTTTAGTTAGACTGAAAACAGGTGATTTTAATTACTTATTGTTACTTTTAATAACTTTTAAATTACTTTAATTTAATTTGATGTCCCAAATTGTTTGTTTTGTAATAGCCAAATTATTGAATTGTAATGCTATTTTATTTGTTCTAAGTTTATTATTATTATTATTATTATTATTATTATTATTATTATTATTATTATTAGTAGTAGTAGTAGTAGTAGTAGTAGTAGTAGTAGTAATATTTAAAGTATATATTTAATTATAAATCATTTATATTTATAATTATTTTTATTATTATTATTATTTTTATTGTTATTATTATTATTATTATTAAATTGTAAATCATTAATTACTATTATTTTTATTTTATTTTTATGTTTAATTATAAATAATTTATTATTATTATTATTATTATTATTATTATTATTATTATTATTATTATTATTATTATTATTTATTTATTTATTTATTTATTTATTTATTTATTTATGTTTAATTATAAATATTTTTATTGTTGTTTTTGTTATTATTTTTAAATTATTATTATTATTATTGTTATTATTATTATTATTATTATTATTATTTTAAAATGTTATTCAAATGTAAACTATTTTTTCAATAATAATACTAATAATACTAATACTACTACTACTACTACTACTACTACTACTACTACTAATAATAATAATAATAATAATAATAATAATAATAACAATAATAATAATAATAATAATAATAATAATAATAATAAATTATTTATAAATATATAATTTTATTACAAAAAAAAAAAAAAAAGAAATCGATAAATCTATAAAAATAGGTATGTTAAGAAATACTCAGTTTAAACCAAAACACTAAAAACACTATTTGGTTACATACTAACAACTTAATCTTTGTAATTTCTTAATTATGTTAAACCAAAATGCATTCTCTGACTTAGTTACCAAAAAAATATAGAATTCCAATCCATTTACTGTAGCAGTGTTTCACGTACTTGCAAAACTCAGTTTAAACTGTAGACGTTGTAAAAAAAAAAAGTAATCTTTAGTGCAGTGCAGAGTTGCTGGAACAATATCTTTACTGAGCGACAGTCGAACACACACACACACTTCATGCAGAAAAACACACCGTCTCTCCTTCTGTCTTGTGCAGGATTTTACACCTCACGCTCCATGGCTTAAATCCTCCATTTGTATTCCTGACACTGGTCCCTCGTCATGTAAATGTGGCCTCTCCCCTCATTTTCCCCTGAATTATCAACGTTATTAATGCCGCTGTTCTGGAAAGTTCCAGATTTTGCAGGCCCCTCGAGGCCTTGTGGAACAAAGTGTGAAAGTTGTTAATCAGAGAGTGAAGTGCTGTGCGTTTACCAACACAAGCTGCTGCATCTGTGCCTCTTGTTCTGCTAATTACTGTCATTCGTTTTCCTGATTGGGTGTTGAGTTGCATTGTGGAATATAAAAAACAAAACTTTGGCTTGGTTGTTTGACAGTTTGGTCTAAAATTAAATAAAGAAAAATGTAGGTGTCAGTTATTTTTGATACCCAAAAAAGGGTGTGTGATATTTATCATCTATGTATTAGTTATTGCTGTAACAGTGCATGAGCTGATTTTGCCAACAAATAAATAAAGAAAGAAATAGTGCTGGGCAAAAATTATCATCAATTAATCACATGGAGAATAAAAGTTTATCTAAAAGTGTATGTTATGTTTATTATTATATTTAGATATAAAAATTATAGTTTGAAATATGTATTACATGAACATAATTAATATTTATAAGACACACACACACGCGCGCCTACATGCATATTATGTTAAAACAAACTTTTATTTTGGACGTGATTCATTGTGATTAAACTTTGCCCAGCATAATCAATCAATCAATCAATCAATCAATCAATCAATCAATCAATCAATCAATCAATCAATCAATCTATCAGTCACCATTATTTATTTAGTTGTTTTTATTTATTAGTTTGTAAGTTATTATGTAGTTTAGAAATATTATGCAACTTGTTTTTTATACTATATTTAAAATAACAAGTCAACAAACAACAGATGATTAATATTGAGTCCAATTTTAGAGACAATATTGTTAATGTTTTGCATAAATAGCAAAAAAAAAACTCAACAAAATAATTGTGTTGTTATTAAAATTAAAATAATTGTAATTATATTTTATTTATTTAGGTGTAACAACAATTTATATTTATATTATAAAAACACATCTATTTAATATTATTTTTATTTGTTTGTTTGTTTGTATTCATATTATATTTATAAAACACATTTATCAAAATAATAAATGTTGTTACCCATAATTAATTGTGTATTTTTTATTTATTTAGTTTATATTTAAATATTAAAAAAGCAAAATAATAGATGTTTTAATATTTATATTTATAAAACATTTATCAAAATTGTTGTTACCAAAAATTATTATTATGCATTTGTTATTATTATTATTATTATTATTTTTATTATTATTTTTATTATTATTATTATTATTATTATTAATAATAATAATAATAATAATAATAATAATAATAATAATAATAATAATAATAATAATGATAATATATTTTATTAGATTTGTTTATATATATTTGGGTAACAACAATTTATATTTATATTTATATTATAAAAACACACCAAATTAATAGTATTTTTATATTTGTTTGTTTGTTTATATTCATATTTTTTATAAAACACATTTATCAAAATAATAATTGCTTTTTTCCAAAATTATTTTGGGTAACCAAAATAGTGGAATATTATTTTATTTTATATATATAACACTAAAATAATAGCAGTTTTTGTATTTGTTTATTTATATTTATATGAATTAAAAAAATTGCAAAACAATAATTGTTGTTAAAATTATTATATTATCTGTAATAACTTATATTAATCGGCTGATTATTTTTTAGATTTGTTTATTTAAATTTATATCTGTATTCATATATATTTTTTTATTTATTTCATTTAAATTTAAACACTCCTGTCAAAATGTCGCCTTTTTATGTAAATATGTCCGTTTTATTCTGAGGTTATGTTAAATATGAACGACATATTCTACTTTCCCTGTCCATACAATGTTCATAAAACCATTACAGAAAAGAAATACATTAAAGCATGCAATGGAGACTTATAATAAGTTCAGAATGTCTAGTTGAAGTCTTTTACACTAAATGATATTCTTGACAGATTCTACAAAATGCTCCATTCAGTGGCGAGAAGTGCCAAAGTCATATTCAGTCACATTAATAATAGCGGCATATACTGTATATTATATAGAAATCAGACTTATATTCAATATTATGACCTCTCGACTCTTTTTCTACATGAACATCGTCTTTATCCAAGAAATGTCAGGGAAGTATGGATTAATGTGAGAGTTATGACAGACAATTATTCTAAAGTCCTCCAGCAATGATGGACAAAAATATAATCATACCCAATACATAAACTACCTTACTATTATTAAGCAGCTAATTAGTAGTTTATTGAGCTAGAAGTATTAATTAATGGTTTGTTTATAGCATAAATTTTATATTAAAATAAAGTGTGGCGCAGTTATGTACTGTACTATACTGTATTGAGTACTGTATAGCTGTTTATGTACAAATAGTGGCTGAATTGAGCTCATTCTGTTTCTGATTCTGAAATGCTTTATTAATTAGGAGTCTCTTTCTCTCTCTCTCTCTCTCTCTCTCTCTCTCTCTCTCTCTCTCTCTCTCTCTCTCTCTTCTGTACCAGTGATTATGGTTTTGAGAGAAGGACTGATGGGAAATGTACTCCAGCGTTCTGGTTTCCACCGTCCTCCATGTCTCGAACCTGCACTACAGAGCACACATTCCTCAACAGCACTGGGTGAGAACAATATTTCATGTGATTTATGCATACTGTAGCTGATTTATAGCAATGGTCCAGGGACCAATCAAGTTTTTAAATTTATTATTATTATTTTTACTTTTTTTTTTTATTTTGCATCTTTAAATGTATCAAAAAGGTTCCAAAAGTATTTATTTATTTGTTAATTTTTTACTTACCTAATTTATTACTAATTTATTTATACAAATCTTAATGAGGTTTTACTTAGGATTATTTTATTTTATATTATATTATTATTTTTAATTTAATTTAATTTAATTTAATTTAATTTTATTTTATTTTATTTTATTTTATTTTATTTTATTTTATTTTATTTTATTTTATTTTATTTTATTTTATTTTATTTTATTTTATTTTATTTTATTTTATTTTATTTTATTTTAAATTTCTTTTTAAGAACTCCCTCTCTGGCATTTATCCGTATAATGGCAATGAATAGCAACCAGCATTAAGTTCAAAGATTTAAAAGTATCACAGGATGGTCTCAAGAAACACATTTTGTATTAAAAAAAAGTGCTTTGCTGAAAAGCTAGTTAAAAATGCCAAGTTTTATTTATCAAGACTCCTAACTTTGACCAGCAGTCTTTGTATTCAATTGTGTGTTCTTGAGATTCTACGTTGTAAGAAGAAAAGTAAAAAAATAAATAGAAATATGTCAATATTCTTTTCCTGAGATACATACTGTACATTTTTTGTGTTCATTTAAGTTGCCATAATGGCCAGCCGCCATTCGGAATTGTATCTGGTAAGCAGAGCTCAGTCTGGAGATATTCAGCTCAGTGAGTAAAAAACTAGTTAGGATTATTCGTAATTTTAATTACGGATTCACTGAAATGAAAATACTTAGCTGAAATTGTAAAAACTGAATGCATTCGGTCAAAAAATGCTTTGTAGTAATTATTTATTAATTTAATACATGATTGCATGTTTCTTTTTTATAATTTCCCTTTCTTCCAAGTTTGATCTGCATTTTTAATTGCAAATTCTATCATAGAAATATTATCAATAATATTCTGATGAACTATAATTTATACAAACAAAAATATTATTATATTGCATTTAAAAAATAGTAATAGTTACAGAATTATTAAAAAAAAACTACATAAGAATTAATGCGTTATTTATTTAAAATGGTTAATAATAATAATAATAATAATAATAATAATAATAATAATAATAATAAATATAATTATTATTATTATTATTATTAATAGAATAAACTGTATTTTTCCTCAAACTGCGGCATGTTTTGTTTTGGCTTGAAACCGAAAATGCCACAATTTATTGGCCAAAAATTCGGTGCACCCTAATTTTAATCTTGATTTTTTAACTAATATTATTTATTACATTTTTCTGGCATCACAGTGGTGCAGTGGGTAGCACGATGGTCTCACAGCAAGAAGTTTGCTGGTTCGAGCCTCAGCTGGGTCGGTTGGCATTTCTGTGTGGAGTTTGCATGTTCTCCCTGTGTTTGCACGGGTTTCCTCCAGGTGCTCCGGTTTCCCCTACAAATCCAAAGACATTGGGTACAGGTGTATTTGGTAGGCTAAACTGGTCATAATGTATGTTTGTGAATTAGTGTGTGTGGATGTTTCCCAATGATGGGTTGCAACTGGAAGGGCATCTGCTGCGTAAAACGTTTGCTGCATAAGTTGTGGCGACCCCAGATTAATAAAGGGACTAAGAAAAGAAAATGAATGAATGAATGATTGAATTAAATCCTTCTTTCTAGACATATCTATATGAACTGTGACACTAATAAACTCTCCTGTTTTATAATATTTGAGTGCTCAAACTCAACATTTCTGCATAAATCGCTGATGTAGTGAACGTTCACATTGACGAATCTTCATACCTCACTACTTCTTTGTCTGTAAAGCTGCTTTGACGCAATCAGTATTATATAAAATCCTATTGAAATAAAGGTGAGCAGACTCTTGAACACACAGTCTAGAACAGATACAAATGGCGAAGGTCAGGATTTTATATAAAAAAAAAAAAAATAAAAAAAACTACAATGAATTCAGCTCATTACTCAGCAAAACCTATTGTCTGATGCTGTTCACTACCATTATATAGACAAGTGGCAGCATGACATTTTTTATAATGTCTCTATTCGTGGTCTGAAATAGAAAGAAGGACATAGAGCACTGATAAAATGTACTTTTTCTATCTCATTCAAGCTGTTAGCACCCGTTATATTGTTTATACAGTAGATAACGCATGCATGCTTTAAAAAATGTTGGTAACACTTTATTTAAAGTAACAATTGATGCTATAAACAAATCATTAAACAAAACTGTTAGCATAATAAACTACTAATTTGCTGCTTATTAATACTTATGGTAGTAGTTGGATTTAGGTATTAGGTAGAATTAGGGAGGTAGAATAAGACCATGTTTTATAAATACAACAGTAAAAAAAAAACAATTATATTAATAATAGAAAAATAATATTTGTTGTTTTACGTTGCTTTTCGGCAACTAAGGTGTTAAATTACATTAAATTTAATTAAATTACAGAAATTAATCATAAAATAACAGACGTTAAATAAAAATAAGAATTTTACCAGAAATGTAAATTTAATTACATTTCGTTAATTAACATGTTATTTTATGGTAAATTTCTGTAATTTAACGTCTGTTGTTTTGCGGTAAATTTCTGTAACTTAACGGCAGTTATTTCATGATAAACTTCTGTAATTTAACGTCTGTTATTTTATGGTAAATTTTTGTAATTTAACAACTGTTGTTTTGCGGTAAATTTCTGTAATTTAACGTCTGTTATTTTATGGTAATTTTTTGTAATTAAACAGCTGTAATTTTACAGTAAATTTCTATAATTTAACATCTGTTATTTTACGGTAATTGTTTGTAATTAAACGGCTGTTATTTTACGTTAAATTTCTGTAATTTAATGGCTGGTATTTTATGATAAATTTCTGTAATTTAATGTGTTATTTTATGATACATTTTTGTAATTTAAATTCTGTTATTTTACGGTAAATTTCTCTAATATAACGTCAGTTATTTTTTGGTAAATTCCTTTAATTTAATAGCTGTTATTTTACGGTAAATTTCTGTAATGTAACGTCTGTTATTTTACTTCTTTTTTTTTCCGGCACCCCATTTTTTTTTACAGTGTAGGTAAATAATATCTGCACACGCAAAGATAAACAGATCGTACTTTTCTTGCACGATATGGTGCAGATTTCGCCACTAAACTGACAATATGTTAAATAGTTCAATTTCCTCTTGGAATCAGACTGATAAGTTTATGTGTGGGGTAAAATTGTGGAATAGTCTAGAAAATAGGTTAAAACAGTGTCCAAATACTAAAAAGGTGTGTAAAAAAATGTATTATTAAAGTAATATGTGAATGAAGAAAGGTGATTGTTTAATTGGCACAAATTGGTGAATGCATAGTAAATATTTAGTTGATGGTTGTTCCTAGCACCATATAAGGTTTTGGATTTGTGTTTGTTTACAGAAATATACAAATGGTGTAAAGATCATATCTTATGTAGAGATAAAATATGAAACTATTTGAAGAGATAATTGAATGCTGATGATTGAATATTGGGGGTAATGTGATCAAGTGCTTCATCTTGCTCATCTTCATCTAGATTCATCTTGTTAGAATCTCTTATTTTTGAGTTTACATATGAAGATTTCAGATGCAAAAACTTCTGAAATTTAGATAATAACTAATAGAAAATAACCAATGCTGTGATATTACCGAAGCTACACACATGAGCCTGAAAAAATGGTGTGAATGTTGACAGGCTCATTGTGAAAACGTACCCTTGTATACATTTCTGGAGAGTGCGAATTATGTAGCCAGAACTACGTATGGCTGCATTTGGTCTTTAAAATGTACGCTACAGGGTGGTATGACACCACTGATGGCTTCTGTTTCTTTTTATGCTTTTCTCTGTATGGATGGCATTACAAGTAAATAACAGGGTGAGAACATGGGTAAGATCTAAAAATGTGGTAAAAATCTGGCATCAGCAAGAGCAATTATTTTTCTCGATTGCTTTTTAAACACTGTCGTTTGGGTTTAGGGAAAGTGGGAGATTGGGTCAGTCAGTGCTTTTGAAAACACTATCAGTTAGATTTAAGGAAGGAGGTGGCTGGGGGGATTGCTTGGTTGATTGATCAGTCAGTCAGTCTGTCAACAGTGGCCTCCTGTGGATTTATGCAAGAAGAGCAGGCGTAAATGGCACTCGCGAAAGAAATTTGAGATCTGAAAGAGCGTACACAATGGATTTGCGAAAACAAAAACAAACAATGAACCTGCTGGGACTTATTTTGTGATCTCCAGAAATGCATACAGGGGTACGTATCAATAATGATCCTGGGTTGGTAAACATGCTCAGTTTATTATAAAAATTCAGATGACACTTTAGAGGTTTTTGCATCTGAACTCTCCATATGAAGACGTTTTGTTGATCATGATAAAATGCAAGAGTATTTAAATACTTATTTTTAAGAGTGGATTACAATGTTCAGAATACAAATGATTCAATATGAGTTTGTGTGTGTGTGTGTGTGTGTGTGTGTGTGTGTCTGCAGGTACAGGAAGGTTGTGTCTAATAACTGCACAGGCGGTGTGATAGAGCGATACACGGCCCGCAGACAGCTGTGCCCCAGTCAGGCTCCTCGTGGCCTTCATTTAGTGACCAGCGAAGGGAAGCTCACAGCCACTCTGGCCAGCAACGTCACATTCCTTGTCTTCTTGGAGGAGGTATTGAGCTCTTTTTTTGTTCTTTTAAGCAGTTTTGCTTTCTGTCTAAGAAAAAAGGAAAATAATCTCCTATTTTATAGAAAGTTATGTGACTTTTTGGCGTTTTTTTTTTTTTTTTTTTCTCAATGAGGTTTCAAAACAGTTTTGCTTTCTGTCTAAGAATATAAATAAATGTTTTTTTCTAAACAATTTTGCTTGCTGTCTTATAAAACAAAATACTCTAATATTACAAAAAGTTATGATTTTTGTGCCTGTTTAGTTAATGATTCAAAACTTTTTTTTTGTTTTTCAATAATGTTTCAAAACAAAACAAAATGTTTCTTTATGCCTAAGAAAATGTGAAAAATACTCAAGAAATACAGAAACTTATTCCGTCAGATTTTTTTCCAAAACAACTTTGCTTTTTGTTTTAAAAAAAGAAAACAATACTAAAATATAACAAATATTATATGATTTTTTTTTGATGTTTTAAAACAGTTGTTTTTCAACAATGTATCAAAACCATTTTGCTTAAGAAGAAATAACTTTAATATTATTTTTAGAAAATTGAGACATGTTTTTGGACGTTTTTTTTAATGTTCCTTTTTTTAATGTGTCTAATGTGTCTTTTTTGTTTTGTTTTGTTTGAAAACAGTCTTGCTTTCTTTCTAAGAAAAAAAGTACTTTAATATTACAGAAACATTTTTGGCTGTTGTTTTCAAGAGTTTTAAACAGTTGTGTTTTCTATGACTTTTTTGGCTGTTTTTTTTTTTTTTTTTCAAAACTATCTGAAAAAAAAAATCTGACATTTTTAATTTTATTGTTTTGCTGTGAAAATACACAAACATCTTGTCAAATATATATAATAAGACTTTCTCCAGAAGAAAAAAATATTATCAGATATATAATAATAATAATAATAATAATAATAATAATAATAATAATAATAATAATTATCATAATTAATTAATAATAATAAATAATAATAATAATAATATTATCATCTTCATCTTAAAGAATCTCTCATCCACCCCAATCCCCTTGATTAATCCAGGACAGGGTGGCACGGCGGCTCAATGCACTGTAGCACTGTTAGCACTCTAGCCTCTCAGAAAGAAGGATGCTGGTTCGAGTCCAGACTGGGCCAGTTAGTGTTTCTTAGTGGAGTTAGCATTTTTCCCATAGGTAGTCCCGTTTCCTCCCACAGTCTAAAGACATGCGTTATACTGTAGGTGAAATGAATAAACCAAACTGGTACATTATGAGTGTTTTAGTATTGAGCATTCACCACATAAACTTATGCTGGTATAGTTGACAGTTCATTCCACCATGGCAGCCCCTAATAATCAAGGAATAGGCCAAGTGAACAAATTCAGTGGACAGCAAGCCAAACATGCTCTATTATCAATCCTCAGCTAAGTGTGAAAAATATTCTGCAATATTACAGAACGTCCTGTGACTTCTTTTCCCTCTGATTTTTTATTTTATTGATGTTTCATGTTATTATCCTTACTTTCCTTCCAGGGTGACGGATCGAAAACCAGCATCACTGTGGATTTCGGCGATGGAAACGCCTTCACTTACTCCAACGTGAGCTCCATCGAGGATGGCATTAAACACATTTACAAGACTGTGGGCATCTACCGAGTGTCAGCCACGGCGGAGAACAGTCTGGGCTCAGAAACGGTGCTCCTCTTCCTACACGTTACATGTAAGCCAAGACGTGGGAGTAGCAATATGCATAACACAGACAGCCATATCGTAGCCTGCTTTTATATCCCTGATGTATTTTACAGACCCGCTGAGTCTCATTTATGCTTTATTGACCAGAAAAAATCTCATTTGGCCTTGGTGCTATTGAACTCGGCATTAAGCAATTTGGATTTCAGGCTCGTAGTCTCTAACTATGACCATGAGATTGGAATCATCCCTCTCAGTTATTGCTGAAAGACACTTTAGTGTAAGATGAAGGTCCCGGGGATCTAAACTATATCGTGCTGGACTGATGAACTTTACCTAGTGTTACTTTTACAATTAGCAGCTATCAAACTGTTACATTTATTTCTAAAGTGAAAAACTAAAATGAATGGCTCACATGACTCAGTTCATGTGAATTTCATGTGAATCTTTAGTGAATCGAAAACATACAGATGAAGAGATTTATACTTTAAAATCCTCAATGAGTCAGTTTTTTAGGTTTCCAAACAAATGACTCTCATGAACAACTCTTTAAAAAATAAATCAAAACATAGTTTACTCTTATGTTGTACTCCAGAGACATTATACAGAATATGAATTAAGAATTTTCATGAGTACTATTATGTCAAATTAAACATAATATTTTGGTCAATTTTTGATTTAAAGCTTTTAGTTTAATGGACAATTTAATTCTAATGGAAATTTTACAAAAATACACTATGTCTTGTTTAGTTTGATTCCCAAACAACTGAATCTCATGAGCTGATTCTATTTAGTTCATCAAAAACATTCATATTGAATTAAGATTCATATTGTAAATCATTGCCTGATTCTCAAACAAGTCAGGTTTTTTGTATCTATTTATAAACAAATGACTCTCATGAACAATTCTGTTAAATTGAATCAAAACATTCAGTTTACTCTTACAGTATGTTGTGCTCTTAAGATTTTTACTGCAGTGTATGAACTAAGAATTGTCATGAGTGCTAATTTATTAAATTACTCATATTATGTTGGTAAATCTTTGCTTGATAGTTTTTGAAAGATGATTTATTTCTAATGGATTTTATACAAACATACAATACAAATGATGTACTGAACAATGTCCCAAACTTCTCCCGAACAAATGACTCTTATGAGTTGATTCTATTTAGTGAATCAAAAACAGTCGTACAAAGAGATTCATGCATGTAAAATCCTTGCCTGATTCTCAAACGAGTCATTTTTTTTTTTACTTATTTCTAAAGTAATGACTCTAGTATTATTTTTAAATCATTCGGCTTACAATTTTCTGTCATGTCGTACTCCTGAGACTTTAAAGTACACAGTTTGTATTAAGATCTGTGTTTTTTATTCAAATAAAAATAAAATGTTGGTCAATTTCTGCTTTAAAGCTTTTAGTTTAAAGAAAGTTTAAATCAAATGGGATTTTAGATTCTAATTCTTTGTATCCATCCTCTCTACATGTGCAAAAATTCCAATATACCTTGTTTAGTTTGATTCCTGAACAAATGGTCTTATAAGTTGATTCTATTTAGTGAATCAAAAAGATTCAGATAAAAAGGTAAAATCCTTGCCTAATTCTCTAACAAATCTGTTTTTTCCTATCACAAAGCAAATGACTCTTATGAACAATTCCTTTCACATAAATCAAAACAGTTTACAGTTATGTCATACTGCTTGAACTTCATACAGTACTGTGTGTACTAAGAATTATACTATTGTATTAAATTAGTAATATTCAATTCAATTACTGCTTTAAAGCTTTTAGTTTAAAGGAAGATTTAGTTTGAACGAAATGTCTGATTCTAACTCTTTGTGTCTATTAAAAAAAATCCAATATGTCTTGTTTAGTTTGACTCCCTAACAAATGACTCTCATGAACTAATTCTATTTAGTGAATCAAAAACATTCAGATGAACAAATTCTTGAGGTAGGTCAGTTTATTCGAATGCTTTCAGTAGCATTCAACTTAAGAGCTCTTGTCCATGAGCCAGACTGTTTCTTTGTGTTTTGCTAGTAATATCTTGAAAAAAATAATAATAAAAAAATTAAAATAAAAAGAAAATTATATATGTGTGTATATATATATATATATATATATATATATATATATATATGCATACAGTATTTCATTATTCACTTATTATTTATGTACAATAATTAAGAAATTATATACTGTACAATGAAAAAGTAAAATATAATAAACAAAGAAAGTGTAAATGAAAAAGCTTATTTATCGGCTGTCTTAGTCCTATTACTTTAAAATAACAAACAAATATTTATTTATTTATTTATTTATTTATTTATTTATTTATTTATTTATTTATTCATTATTTAATGTTAGTACTTTCCCTTTAGTTGTCTTATATCTTTTGTTTTAATTTCCAAAATTAATCTATATTGCACTTAACAAGTTTACAATGATAATAAAGCTTGTTAACAAGTTTTTAATGTTTTATAAATGAATTTTAATGCTTTGTTTCATTGTTGCATCTTCATTTACAAGTAGCAGAGGATTTACAGCTGTATATGTCTGTTCATTCGCATCCCATCCCTTTGTGCCCCCTAGTGGCACAGTTGCAAACTGCGGTTACACCTATTGTAAAAACATTTTGTTAATCCCTTAGCGTCAGATGCAGCGGTATTGGTCATATTGAACTGTCATCCACTGTACATACTGTAAAATAAAATTTTCACTAACAATTCTTTTTAAATGAGTCAAAAATACCATTTATGTTGTATTTTGGAGATTTAATGCGATACACAATATCATAATTTATATATTTTCTAGTCGGCTTAGTCCCTTTATTAATCCGGGGTCGCCACAGCGGAATGAACTGCCAACTTATCCAGCAAGTTTTTACACAGCGGATGCCCTTCCAGCCACAACCCATCTCTGGGAAACATCCACACACACACACACTCATACACTACTGACAATTTAGCCTACCCAATTCACCTGTGCCGCATGTCTTTGGACTGTGGGGGAAACCGGAGCACCCGGAGGAAACCCATGCGAACGCAGGGACAACATGCAAACTCCACATTTACAATTATTTAATATTGTTTTAAATTATAGTTTAGACCAGTTATGAAACTGCTGCTCATTAAAACTGAAATCAATTAAAATAAACAAATCAACAACATTAATTTCAGACGTTCCTGTCCTGCAATGTTCTGAAGAAGGGTGAAAAGTGTGATTGGTCATTTCACATGTTGGTCAAACGGCCTCTTCTGGACTGTGTGGGTGGTTTTTGGCCAAAAAATGGATTTGATTTGATGCCAGTAACCTAAAAGTCTGGCTCTACAAAACTCTCTTATTATGTAACAAAGTGTTGTACTAATGTTGGATGACATTATTTTCGCACATTCCGAGCAGATGGCGTAGACATTTTGTGTCTTTTTTTAGTGGTCTTTGTGTGTGTTTGATGGGAAGAAGCTCACCATCATTTATTAGAGATTACGTGACTCAAACTTGAAGCTTTTCTCTTATGTCCACCTACTAGCCACATTCAGAAAGCCATTCAGAATGAAAGACAGACAGACATTCAGACAGAAGTCTTTGCAGTGACATATTGATCCGGAAGAAGGAACATTTTCAGTCTGTCAATCCTGTGGTGCCAAACAAAGCAAACTGAGCATCTGGTGCAAGAGTGTTATTTACAGATGACTCTATCATGAGCAGAAGTTTTGTAAATGAATGCATACATATATGCTGGAATTGTTAGGTAGAGGTTTAGTAAGAAGTTTCCATTAAATAAAATCAGCAATATCCAGTTATATTATTTAATTTTATTCAGCAGTTCTGTCTGGTGCTCAAATCTGATTGGCTGATAGATAGCCATGCGATATTCTGCAATAACAGCACTCGTACAGCCTCTTCACCTTTGTGTATTAAAACGCCAACATATAGAGGGACAAGCAGAAGAGTGAGCAATTCACTACAGTTCGACAAATATAGTAGCTGTTGGATAACATAATTTACTTTTGAGGCTTTTTTTAGGCAAGAATGTAGTTTGCAGCTATGCAGTTTGTTTATAAGGATTTTTTAAATTTTAAATATTCATTTTTTCGGAGGTTCAGTGCGTTGGCGGCCATCAACCTGTCATACTGAGCAGAGCAAAGAAAGTTGATGTTGATGCCATAAGATGGCGACAGAGAGCTCATAATAAGTCCTTGGGAGAAAAACTCCCAAATTAAATTTCAAATAACACCTGATCAAATCATTGTAAAACGGGCAAGTGAAGTTCTAAGTTTACCTTTCTCTTTTGTATGTTGTAGTGCTGTATTTATACTATAGTGATCTACTAGTACTTGCTTTGCTTTGGCTTTTTCAGGGTTAATTATTGTAATATCCTTATCTCGACAGAGAAATACTGGGAAATCTCTGTAGACTGATGGCATTTCATGTCTTATAATCTAAAAAATGTGAGCAAAATCAGCTGTTTTATCACTTTAGACATTACGCTAGGCAATTCTACAAATACTAGCTCTTAAGTGATGTTGAAGTAGCAAAGGTTTCTCCTGTTCTGACTGTCAGCTGAAAAGGTGAATGAATGGCAGAATGAAGTAGTTCCTCGTTTGGAAGGATTTTTGAGACTCTTATTTGATTTTCTTTTTTATACACACAATTATGTAGTCGAACTGTTGTATAAATGCAATATCACACTCGTAGAAGTGCAATATCGATGTATATCATCACGGGTGGGACATTAAGGCACTCGGCCTGTGGCCTCGAGCCAGTACACACCTCCCACCAGTGCCAATATACAGCCACATCGCACTGCTACTTGTGTATTATTGCTTATATTTATAACATCACTTGGATGGTCAACTAGGCAGGGTTAAAAACAGAAAAAGACAGTTCCATGTAGATAATCTAAAAGCGTTGTCAGTGTAATAAAGTGTAGTAAAAGGTTGCGGTAGGAGGAAAAACAAACATAAACAACACAACAAACAAAGCTCAAAACACATCTAGGCAATCCAGCAAACACTTTGAAATGCTTCCTAAAGGGAAACAAGACTCAGCACTGGGTGTGTGTATGTGATGTATATATAGTACCAGTAATCAGTAATGATGGGCTACAGCTGTATGTCTAATCAGGAGGTGAGCTGAAACCCAATCTCACTGCAATTCGTAACTTTTTGTTTTAGTTGGTAATTTGTGTAAATTTGTATGATTTAATTTATACAATTTAGTTTGATTTGCTTATCCACCAAAGATGGTTGGGAGCCACACCTCCTTTTTAAAATCATACATTTTCCTACGAATTCGTAGGAATTAACCAATAAACTGACAAAATGTAAAATAGTGATGTTTCCTTGTGAGATCAGGGTGTGTGAAACTGATGTGTGAATGCATTGCATAATGGGATATGTAGTTCAGTGTTCTACATCGCTACATCTGTCTACATCGCTGATAATCATAACAATTATAATCACTTTTGATTAATTTAATGTATCATTGTTCAGTTAAAATATGTCTTTTAATAAATAAAACATGTTTACTATCACTGCATGCAAAGTGGTTAAATTTATTTATATTTTTGCATATTTTGTTTGATTGTCCTTTTGAAAACACTAAACTGCACTATAAACTTTACTTATCCAAAGTTATATACAATTATTTATTTATTTTAAAACATAATATGGTTTACCCCATCTGTTTAGGCTTGAAAATCCCTAAATGAACAAAACATGAGAACTAGAAAAACACTACCAGTTTTCGTAACTCACTTCTTTTCTCGTCTCTCTCTCTTTCGCTTTTTCTCGCTCTTTCTCTCTGAGCAGGTCAGTTGGACTCTATCCATCTCTCCGCTCCTTTTGTAGCTGTGAAAAATAAAGAAGTCAATCTGACGGTGGTTCTCTACCCCAGCCAAGTAGGAACAGTCACCTACATCTGGTGGTTTGGGAACAATTCCGAGGTAAAGTGTTCATGTGTCTCTCACCTATGTGTGTGTCTCTGTGAGCAGCATGTAAATAAACTGTGCTGACAGGAGTATCTCTCGAGAGTATGTGTGTGTGTGTGATGGTGTTTTTCGCAGCCTGTGATCACGCTGGATGGGAGTGTGTCCTTCACCTTCTCCAGAGAGGGAATCAGCATCGTCACCGTACAGGTTTCTGCTGGGAACAACATCCTGCAGGACAGGAAAACCATCGCCGTCCACGGTGAGCTTACCACAGAGAGCAAACAGATTAAAGCTAGTCTTGTTAAATAAGAACTAAATTGTTTAAAGCATATACAGTCTAATCCAAAATTGTTTATACTTCTGCACTGGGAAAAAAAAAAAAGTTTCATTGGATTTACTACGTTTTTTAAGGTAAGTGGTTGCAAACAATTTTTATGGACTGAATTTAAACAAACAAATATGTCTAAAATGTTCAACGGACTTTCTTTGTTTAAATCTAGCCTATATAAATTGTTTGCAACCACTTACCCTAAAAAATGCATAAATCCAATGACAAAATTTTCAGTGTGGCAATTTCTGGAAAAAAAATGCTTTCTTCAAAAAAGTTACTTTTATTCAGCCAGCAAGTTTTTTATTTTATTTTATTTTTTTATTTTTTTATTTTTGACTGGAAATAGCACAGGCTTCTCGCAAAAAAATATTAAGATTATCATAGCAGTATTGTAGAACTAATATTTAAGGAAAAATATTTCTTTAAATAACTGTTAAATTTTGCTGTATTTGGCTTAACTGTTCTTGGGTGTCCTGCCAATGTATTAGATAACTCTAATACATACAGTAAGTAAGGTGACCAATATTCTTACAGGGAGAAGACTTTATTGAAGACATTGAATTGTATAGTTCCTCAGCATCGATGTTAACCTGTCAGTCTTCAAGTAACTTAACCCTACTGTCTGCTAGACAGACGTTATACTAGCTACAAACAAACCATTTTGTGTTTACTAGGCTAAGCCGAACCCTCTTATCAGATGTCTCAGTTGTTATTTTGTTTATACCCATTGAGATCGTGAAAGGGTTACACCTATCGTAAAAGTATCATTTAGTTCACACCTATCAGTTTGTAAAACACAATCTCACGGCAATTCATAACTTTTTGATTTAGTGGTAATTCGTATGAATTTGTACAATCTAATTTGTACAATTTAGTACAATTTGTTTATCACCCAATGATGGTTGGGTTTAGGGGCAAGGTTGAGTGCCACTCCTTTTTAAAATCATACATATTCATACGACTTTCGTAATTCACTCACACAAATCAGCCACTAACCTGACAAAACATAAAATACTTACATTTTCTTGTGAGATTTGGCTGGTTTGTAAATGTTGAGGCACAGGTCACCCCAACATACACAGAACTGATTACATAAGTTCATTCAATGTCAATACAATTAAACTAAAATGCACAGAATCCTTCATAACTTCAGAATTTGCCAGGGATTTAAATAATTTCAGGCTTGACTGGATGTATATTTAACACTTTTTGAAATAATTTTCAGTTTAAATAAAATAAAACAAATATATAAAGAAATGTATAAGTACTTCAAGTATTAAATTGAAGAAAAAAAAATAATACATGTACTTTTTATAACTAAAAACTGGATTAATATTATTCCAGGTTTAGTTTTTTAAATCATAATGTTAGTTTTATATTAGCCATAACAAATATGAATTAATATTGTTATAATACTATAAAACTAATGCCAAATTAATGGTTTTAATAAAAAATAAATCATACTAAAATACTAAAAAAAATTTACTCGGGGAAACATATGAAAAATATGTATTTTTATAAATCTTGTTATAGTATATGTGTTAAAAAGTACGGTGATATTATATGTTCATTACAAATGCAACACTTTAGGTATTATAATTGGGCAAAGTGTGATAAAAAAGACTGCTACAAATTGTGGAAAAAAAGTGATACACTAATAATACATGATACACTAATAATACAACAACAACAAAGACTAAACTAAAATGAAACCTGTTAAACTATTTTTGAGCAAAAAATATAATAAAACCTAAAATATTAGAGAAGCTAAATCAAAGAATTAATGAATACTAACATATTTTTATAAATAAATAAATGAATGAATGAATGAATGAATGAATGAATGAATAATAAATAAATAAATAAATAAATTTATTAATTAATTAATTAATTAATTAATTTATTTATTTATTTATTTATTTATTTATTTATTTATTATTCATTCATTCATTCATTCATATATATATAATAGCAGCTACACAGTAAATATTATCCCAAAGGAAAAATAAAGTACTACTCTTTTTTTCTTCAGGAGAAAATATCCCAACCATCTTTATTTAAAAAAAATTACAATTAATTAAACAAATTCTAAAATATAAACAAAAAAATGCTAAATTGAATTAAAATGTTTTATAAAATCTGCAGCACAAAAATCTGCATCCAAACCTTATTACTACAATAATTTCTGATTAAAAAGCAATAATCATCACAGTAATATGACTTTTGTGCAATTTCTCAATTCCAGAATACTTCAGGTCTCATCTTCTTGCCTTTTCGTCCAATCTGGATGATCATAACCCTGATGTGGCCGAATGGAGACTCGATGTGAGTCGAGTCATTAAAGCCTCCATGATGCAGGTGAGTTCACATTTCATCAAATTTGAAGCCTAATTTAATAAAATAATTAAAGTATGTAGAAATCTTATCTGACCAACTGATTAAAAAACTTAAATTCCCCATAAAACCTGTCCAAACACAAGCACAATCAGAAGCTTTAGTGGGTTTTCTTGCTCCACACTTTCTCTGAAGATCTCAAATATCTACTCTTTGAGCTCGTACAGATTCTCATTCCCTGCATGCCACTGTGACAGGAAAAACTTGAGAAACATTCAAGCATATGGCACGACAGACACAAATAATGATTACCGTTTTCCTGCGCTCCCCCTGTGGCATGATAACCCAACAGTGGGAATTTCTTTATGGATGTTTATGAGATATGACGGGTCTCATGTGAGCCATATGCGTGTTCTGCTCCAGTTGCTTATTGGTAATGTGTGTAATGAGTTCTGCAGTGGACAGATGGACAACAGTGGCTGGACGCGGTGACCTTGTAACATCAACCAGGGAGGATTTGACATGTTTATATTGAGTTTGAAAAGGATAGTTTGCTCAAACATGAAAATTCTGTCTTTATTTACTCGCTCTCATTTTAATTCCAAACACAAACCATTTTTGTGTGCGTGTCTCTGCATGGAAGACAAAGGGAAAAACACTGGAGAACTGATGTGTTAGAAGCAATGAAGTGGGAGATTACTGATGTCAGATCTGACTGAACGCATCTAGAAGACATGAGCGAGTAAATTATGCCGAAATGTAATTTCTGAAGTTAAACTTTAAATATACCCACACTCTTTCCTCTTGGTATGCACCAGATACATTCATACCAACACTCCATGTTTCTGGGGAAAAAAAAAACATCTTGCAAGTCTTAGGATGCTTAATGCAGGTGAGTGGGCTTTACAAACCACTCTTTTCCTTCCCGTATGCACCAGACACCTTCTTATAAGCACTCTATACTTCTTGGGAAAGATTGAGAGTGTGCTTCATATAGCTGAGTGCACTTGACAAATCACCTGTAGGAGACACACTCTTCATGTGCACCAGACACCTTCTTATAAGCACTCTATACTTCTTGGGAAACATTGTGCGATTCTGAGTGTGCTTTATGCAGGTTAGTAGGTTTGACAAACCACCCGAAGGAGACACTTTTTACTTTTCATGTGCACCAGACACCTTCTTATAAGCATTCTATACTTCTCTGGAAACATTGTGCAATTTTCAGTGTGCTCCATACAGGTGAGTGGGCTTCACAAACCACCTGTAGATGGTATACTCTTTTCCTCTCCCTTTGTAGCAGGTGCTTTCTTATTAACACTCCATATTTCTGGGAAACATTAGGCGATTGTAAGTGTGCTCTATACTGGTGAGTGGGCTTGACAAACCACCTGTAGGAGACACTCTCTCCTCTTCATGTGCACCAGACATCGTCTTATAAGCACTCTATACTTCTTGGAAAACATTGTGCAATTCTGAGTGTGCTTCTTACAGGTTAGTGGGTTTAACAAACCACCTGTAGGAGACACTCTCTACTTTTCATGTGCACCAGACACCTTCTTATAAGCATTCAATGGTTTTTGGGAAACATTGTGCGATTCTAAGTCTGCTCCATACTGGTGAGTGGGTTTGACAAACCACCTGTAGGAGACACTCTCTCCTCTTCATGTGAACCAGACATCGTCTTATAAGCATTCTATACTTCTTGGGAAACATTGTGTAATTCTGAGTGTGCTTCTTACAGGTTAGTGGGTTTGACAAACCACTCGTAGGAGACACTCTCTCCTTTTCATGTGCACCAGACACCTTCTTATAAGCGTTCTATACTTCTTTGGAAACATTGTGCAATTCTCAGTGTGCTCCATACAGATGAGTGGGCTTCACAAACCACCTGTAGGAGACACTCTCTTCTCTTCATGTGCACCAAACACCTTCTTATAAGAATTCTATACTTATTGGGAAACATTGTGCGATTCTGGGTGTACTCCAAACAGGTGTGTGGGTTTGACAAACCACCTGTAGGAGACACTCTCTCCTTTTCATGTGCACCAGACACTTTCTTATAAGCACTCTATACTTTTTGGGAAACATTGTGCGATTCTGAGTGTGCTTTATACAGGTGAGTGGGTTTGACAAACTACCTGTAGATGACATACACTTATCTTCTCCGTATGTACTAGACACTTTCGTAACAACACTATATTTCCTGGGAAACATTGTGTATTTCTGAGTGTGCTCCAAACAGGTGAGTAGGCTTGACAAACCACCTGTAGAAGACATCTCCATACACATCAGATACTTTCTTATCAGCACTTCATATTTTTTGGGAAACTTTGTGCGATACAGAGTGTGCTTCATGCTGGTGAGTGGGCTTGACAAACCACCTGAAGGCAAACTCGCTCCTTTTCACTTGCGCCAAGGAAGAAAAAAAAAAGGATTTATATACTGCAACTGATTTTTAAAGTGCTTCTTTTATCCCAACTTGTAAATTGCCTCGGATAAAAGCGCACTGCTAAATGAGTAAATGTACTGATAACATGATACAAGGCATCTTTTTGTTTTAAGATTTTTTATTATATTTTACCTTCATCATTCGAATCATTAGCTTTGGTTGACCCATCAGTTTTTAATAATGTAAAATATGGTAAGATCATTCAACATCAGTCTGAAAACATAGCCCTATATACATTTCTGGAGATTGTGAATTATATAGCCAGAAGTACGTTTGGCCGCATTTCGTCTTTAAATCAAACGCTACAGAGTGGTAGACACTATTCCTCTTTGTGCTTACCAGCTGACTGATTACCTCTGTATGGAGGGATTTCTCACTGTTACCAGTTGGTCTAGTGACTTGCCGCATACATTGGCATACTTGTGACACAGAAAGGAGTTGACCATGACAATGGCATTCGAGTCCAGCGAAAAACAGTCCAATAAAGTAGCTAAGACAAAAACAAAATGTAAATGAGAATGTGGTCAAATCTGAGAACGTGCTACAAATCAGGGGGCTTATATTTCCTGGATTGCTTTTGAAAACACTGCTGGTCGGTTTTAGGAAAGGAGGAGGGTGGGTCAGTCGATCACCCAGTCAGTCAGTCGATCAGTCACTCGACAGCGTACTCTGCTGGATTTACATGAGAACAGCAGGCACGAATGGCACTCACATGAGAAATTTGAGATCTGAAAAAGCATTTACAGTGGCCTCTGGTGGATTCGCGAAAACAAACACTGCAAAAAAGCATACCTCCTGGGACGTATTTGGCGCTCTCCAAAAATATAATCCGGTATGATTTTAGAATGAGCCTGGGTTGCTTGTTTTATAACCTTTGTGAAAGTAAAGGGTGTAACTAGAATAAAGTAATATTTCATCATTATTGAGAATGTCAAAATTATTTATGTAAAAGAAAAAAATAAAACATGAGGACAAGCTTTCTGAACTTAAATGTGTTCATGGACAAATTTACCCTTATTTAGTAAATCTGAATCCGAATGTAATATCAGATTTAAGCTGAATCCATTAAAGAAATAAATCTGTCAATAGTACCCTAGATTTTTCTTCAGAGTTGACATAATGGATTACATATTTAATGTTATCATGTATTAACTATTAAAGAAACTTTTGATTGTTTGTTTGGTGCTCATGTTGGTGTGATGTGGTTTTGTGATGTTCAGGCCACAGGAGTGAGTCCAGATCTGCTGCTGGTGACTGTTCTGCCTGGACTGCCCACAGCAGCCGAGTTCTTTCTGCTACCAGACAAACAGCTCACAGAGGGAAAACCAGACAAAACTGCCACGCATTTAGACCAGGTACTACACACACACACACACACACACACACACACACACACACACAGCTGATTTGTAAAAACTATTAATATTGTTAAAAAAAGTTATTACCATACACCCAGACTTGATTTATTAAATAAATAATATTAAACTTTTTTTGCATTGAATAAAAATAATAATAATTTATATATAATATTATATATATATATATATAAACGAGACAATATTTAATAAAACATCTGCACACTTGCATACATTTCTTGCACAGAAATCTAAACATTGAAAATTAATTAATCAATATTCATTTATATTTTATATTTAGAATTTTAGATTTTTATGGAGGGAATCTCTTTTTATCACTACATAATTTTGAAAATGTTGCATAAATAAATATTAATAATAAATTGTTTAATTTTTTTTTTAATTGATTAAAAACTATTTAAATTAAAAATAATTTATTAAAAACAGTTTTGCATTAAATAAGAATAAAAAAATATTTATGTGAATGAGACATAATTTAATAAAACATCAGCATATGTGAATACATTTCTAGCACAAAAATCTAAACACTGAACATTTATTTATTTATTAAGAGGTTAAGATTTTTACAGAGGAAATTTTTGGTAAGTCATTTTCGTCACTACATAATTTAGAAAATAGTGCAAACAAGTGGAATGAATAAATAAATGAAAGAATAAATGTTTTGTAGAATAAAATATGTATAATCAGAAATATTATCCATGAACAAATCCCTCGCTTAAAATCTTCAGAATACAGGTATCAATTATAACATTTGGTGTAAGTGCTGCTAAAGATTTACAATTCAGTTTAGGACAAGTAACATCATTAAAAACATGTACTGTAATTGAAATCTATAGACACAAATTGGTACAGTGTCATAAAAGAAGCACTTAAAAGTGTATTTTTATGCTTTCTTTAAATGCCCAT